CGTTGACTGCGCGGCCCTCGATATGATCTTTTTACTTGTTCTCCCCAAACATCCTGAACGATTTCACCCAAAATAGTACTACCCAGGATCGAACCATCGATATTTTCCTTGTTTTTGTTCAGCGTCCTTAACAATATCTTTTATGGACGCCATTGAACCTTCATGAAATTCATAATTAGCCATTGTCCTGTACAAATGAAAAAGTAGGGATTATGTAACGCATATACATATAACGAATTTTATTTGTATGGACTACTGCAGAATTTCATTTTATCAGATTCTTTAGTGGAATACATTCCGTGAACTTCCGCTTATAAGCCCTTTAAAGTCTTGCCACAAGTCGTCTTCTTTGAGCGAAACAGAGCGACGCGCGACAACGAGCGAGGAGGAAACAAAACCAACGAAAGGGAAAAATAATATTGGAAAGGGCTTTAGAAAGTCTAATAAGCCCTGGGCTTTTACAACTTCGTAAGTGGTTGGGTTTATAATAGCCTGAGATCAGGCTCCCATTTCTCTCGGAGCCTGATCTCAGGCTAGTTTATAACGGTCAGGGCTTATATCCGCGGGGGGGCTTATAAGAGGATAAAAAAAAAGTTTCAGAATGAGAGCTGATAAGAAACACGTTATGTAGCAATATCAAGATACGTTTTTCATTTACTGATCAAAAACAAATTTCAAGTCCTGACGCAACTGGAACCGGAAGAAAGAAAATTAATATTGATAATATGGTCTAAAGTTCAACATTTTCTTTGAGGACATTTATAGTAAGGAAATAATAATTTATAGCGAGGAGTTACATCCGGGCGTAGGGATCAGTTTTTTTGGATTTTTTGTTAGCGGGAAGATGGGCCTATAACGGGGTGGGGAGGGGTCTTATAAGGCTAGGGGCTTATAAGCGGCAGTCTACGATACCGAAGAGGGGTCCTACATGGCTATTACTAATATCCATGAACCAGCTTTCTTTTTTGTAATTTTTTGTTTCATTGATTCTATGGGGGCACTTATTTGAGCGGACGCTTAGTTGCATGCCCCACTAAAAACTAACGGAACGAGTCCATACGCGTTAGTTGCCGTCTTGTTTACATAGCCAAAAAAATAATTGTCCCTCCGTATTAAAATTCAGAACATTTGAGTCACACATATTTTTACCCCGCAGTTACGAAATGTCAGTTCGTTGGTATCGGCCGTCTGTGTTTCAAATTGTAATAAGACGGCTACTAAAAGCAAATACTTTCGGACGAACGAACAGATTTTAATGCAAAATTTTATACCTACCACAACTTCCATGCTGGCGAGTATCTGCACGATTTTGGCTCTTTTTCCCGAAGGCAATTGCCCCTCTTCTCTTCTTGCTATTTTCGAAAACATAGCAGTTAAACTTTTTAGCACTGAAAGGCAGTCCCTTGACGTCCGCTAGGAGTTCTGAGCACTGTACTAAAACTGAGCCTCGCAAAAGCCTGGCTGAGTTTAATGATAGTTAGCGATGAAAGCTCTGTATCCCGGCGAGCTGTACTAAACTATAGTACAAATTAAGCCACTGAGTTAGCGCTGAAAAGCACTGTTTTATTGCACCGAAATGCACCCTTGAAGTCCGCTAGCGGTACTGAGCACTCCGGTACTAAACTGAGTACAAAAGCCACTGAGTTTATAGCGCTGAAAAGAACTGTTTTACCAAGTGAAAGCTTTGATTTAGTACAATAATAAATCGCTGCTTCTTCAGACGAACGTACTCGACGTTGCATTTTGCGCGAAATTTTCACGTGCTGGTTTCCGATTTCAAGTGACAATCGACCTCTCCGGGCCACCCAGTGTCATTTTGCATGAATGACAATACAGCCATGCCCCTCCCCGGCATAGGGTGATTTTGTCGACATGACGCCATTTTGTGTGTGGTTCAAACGTCCAACGGCTATCAGGAAACGCGAGTGTCGAACTGACGAAAGTTTATCTGCAGTTAGAACGGCATTTGGAAGCCGAAAATACAACCAGAGGGAACATTCGCTATCTGAGATTACACTGGTGGAAGTTTTGAGGCGATTTGAGCATTTTAACGGAATTTATCGATCTTCGAGTGATTGGATTTGAAATGTTCTTTCCTGCCTTCCCTCTTATATTAACGGAAAACCCTCGAAAACTAAAACTCGCCTAAATCGCCTCAAACCGGCCTGAGAAGCTGGCAAACTACAAAGAATACAACACAGCAACAGGGTAAGTCGTTTTTATTCACAAAACATTCGATTTTATATCTTCTAAAACATAACCGTTGCGTTCCCATACAAACCTTATAAATCGAGCCGTTGTAACACAATGCCGCTTATACCGTGACACTGTTTCTCTTATCTTTAGCTTGGGCGGCCTGTGATGTAAACACGAAACACTAAGCTAAAAAATGGTTTTATGCTCGATTTTTGGCTGTGGGACGCAAAGTGTCCGTGATAAAGGAGTTTCTAATGGCAAGAATACCTTCAGTTATAACTAATCAAGGTGAAGAAGTGAGGAAACGTTCCGAGGAGAGGCGAAACAAATGGATATCCGTCTGCGATCAGTAGAGAAGACCTCACAGACACCATTTTGGAGCACGGCCGAGTCTGTGGCAAACATTTTATCTCCGGAGAAGCGGCAAAACTGTGGGATAGTTTACGATCGAGATTGGATTCCAACCCAAAATCTAGGTCATGAGAAATGTGATTCTGCCGAAAAGCTTCAAGCCGATCTAGAAGCTGCCGCGAAGCGAGATGAGAGAGCCAGATCAGAGATCGTGAGCTGAAACGTGTTTCGGCAGAACATGAAACTTGGTTGTAGGCCTCGAGACTTCGGAAATATTGAAATTACTTTTGCATGTAAAAGCTGGTCTCGAGAGCCAAATAGCAAAGCAAATCAGTCGATTCAACGGCGGAAGGCAGTCGGATTCGAAGCGTTTCCCCTCTATCAAAACAGGATCGATTCGAATCGATCCCGAGATTTTCTTTAGATAGCGCTCTCCGACTTTTACATCCAGCTTTTTAGCGTAATCAGATATTGGACATGGGACTATATTGTCTGGATCAGACGAAGGAATATAATTTTTTTCGCTAGAAGCCATTAAACTGGAAGGAATTATAATTTTAGACTATGTTTGCATGTATTAGTAGCTGAAACACGTGACTCAGATGTGCACCAACATGGCGGAAATTATTATGTGACGTCACGTGAAAACGATCTATAGTTCTGCTTACGAGTGAGACGACATTATTTTGCGGTAATGTCGTCTCAAATGCGGGCCGGTGATTGGTTCTGAAGATACAAATTGACACCGGAACACTGAAATGGGTTCCTCGCGTACACATCAAAATTCAAAAGTTTTCTTCGATAAACTCGTCGGCAATCGTTTTATATCTTGTCATTTGCTAATATGTGGAGTGCTTTATTCGCCGGTACAATTTGCTCAATCTAAAAAGTTAGCGTATGGTGAGTATTAAAAGTCATTTATTTCTTGTAGAGTTTGTTTACCGTTTTCACTTGCTTTCGAGATGTGCACGCGCTAAGTTGTAAAATCAACTTTTTCGGTGCAAAATTGGATTATTTTGCCATTTCATTGCTGTTTGGTACTTTAGAAAACTTTGTGGACATAATTCTGAATTGCTTTGTTTCCATAAGCAATTTACCGGCCAAAAAAACTCCGACTTTCTTCGAAACGAAAAATGCTTTCGCGTTCAAGTATTCGTGCACATTACGTCGCGTATAGTGGGAATTTATATTTCAATCAACAACAACTGATCTTAATTTTCCTTTTAATTTGTCCAAAATTGTTTGAATCGCGATACAAAACTAAATTCGATTTTGAGACGACATTACGGCTTTATAATGACGGCGTTGGGAGAAAATATATTCCGTATTGGGCGGAGTAGGGAAGCCCAATACGGAATATATTTTCTCCCAACGCCGTCATTATAAAGCCGTAATGTCGTCTCAAAATCGAATTTAGTTTATAATGTCCAGTAATGACTAAAAATACTAAAATAAAAAAAACGAAACCTTCTCAGCCATTTCATCGATCGCTTAGCCGTTTACTGACTTTGTCTTCACCAGGGCACCACAAAAAAAAAAAAACCATTAGTGTCTGCATGAAAACAAAAAAAAATAAAAGACACGGTATTCACACAAAAGCGATGACGTATTATATTGGGCACACCTGTATTCAGTTATTCCAGTTTCAAAATATGTTGACACACCGTCATATCATCTCCGTTTTTAGTTAATCGTGTTTTAAAATGCGACCATAGCTTTCCATCGGACTCTGTTATTTACCAGCTGTTTTGTTTCATCCCACGTCTCCCGAGGTTCTCCAACTCTTTGATCAGTGTCTATTTGACTGTTTCTTCCCTGCTCGTACAAAGTACGAACATTCCATGTACCATGTTTCAAACGAGATCAGTCGGCGAGATCAACTTCATCCGTGCGTGCTGTTCTTCATACCTTACCTCGCTCCCCGTTTGTTAGAGGTTGTGGGGTTTGTTTCTTCTCTTTCCGCCCCCAAGGGGACGTCCAGATAATTAGCAATATTTTCAGTTTTCGTGACCATTGGTTGGTGGTTGGCCTTGTGTACTGACCAGAGGAGAAAGGGGAGCAATACGGCAGCAATTCAGGGTAATCCGTAAAGTAATAAAGTAAAGTAAAGTAATAGGAATTTCTACAACCATTCCCCGTACGTGTCCCGAAGGATTTTCTTGGACGCTATTATGGATAAATCGGCCGGAGGTGGATAAAGAGAGTAGGAAACACAAGGACGGTGCGAAAAAATCCTCCGTAACTTATGAAACAATTGTAGAAATTCCCACTTAATCTAAGTTGCTTTATGCAACTGGGCGATGGTGTTTAAACGTTCTGCTAAGTGTTTTAACTCCAGTCTACGCAAGCGAACAAATGGACCCTTGAACCTAATAGTTTTCAAAGAAGCGTCCGAAAAGAGGTACAGATTAAAATTGCAAACGATTTTCAGTTTTGCTTTATGGCCAATGGGAGACGCGGTGGCCTAATGGTTAGCGCGTTGGACTCCGGATCGAGCGGTCCGGGTTCGATCCCTATAGCCTGGGTCATTGTGTTGTGTTCTTGGGCAAGACACTTTACTCTCACAGTGCCTCTCTCTACCCAGGAGTATAAATGGGTACCGGCGACAAAATGCTGGGGGTAACCTGCGATGGACTAGCATCCCATCCAGGGGGAGTAGCAATACCCATAGTCGGCTTTATGCTACGGAAACCGGGATAAGCTGTGGCAGTGTGGGCCTGTTTGGCCCGAGTGCGGCTTTACCTTACCTTTTATGGCCAAAACAAAACCCTCAAAAACGAATTACATCGTTTGAGTAGAAACGTCTGCCATGCTGTCCGGCACTGTAGGTAGACGTAAAACATTGATTTTATGTACGAACAGATTGTAACATAAGGACTGCGAAGGTCTCACCGGTTGTCCATACTTGCACTTGTTCGACATCCTGATATTAAACTAATTATATATAACTTATATTTCTAAATCCACACCACACAAGTTTGGTCAATAATATTTTATTTTCTAATTAACATAGAAAAATGCCAATTTTAAGGTGACTCAATGTAGTTTTTTTAGCGATGGGGTGAGAGTTTTGAAAACAAAATTCGATCAGAAGGCAAACTTCGATATTTGCCATACTACACCATAATGATGACATATGATGATAGTTTTATTATCCACTGATTTCCAAGCAACAAAGGTTACCATAGCAACGGTTTTGGCATCCTATTGGTTTTAAATAAGGCTGATTTTCTCGAAATCTAGTCGGAAACATTGCATCCATTTTATAATATTTTGAAGTAGGGTAGTTTGACCACCTGTAGACGAATTTGATGAAAATCTGTAAGGCGGTTTTTGAATAAAACAACACTGAACTTTTTGCGGACCATTTTGTGTATATTTCCCAGAATTTACTTGAAAATATTTCAATAGATTAAAGCTATATGTACCTCCCTTCTGTTGAAGAATTGTTGATGATATTGAAACTTTGTACGGTAAATGGAGCACTTCAGATGGTTACAATTTCAAAATATTTAATTTTGAAGAAGTGCAGCTAGGCACCACAGAACATGATCGAAGCGCCTAATTTACATTTAGTGGAATATTTCTAAAATGCTTTTACAGCTATTAGCGTGATGATGGTACTCGTTCCCGCCCCAGTTCGCTCTCGGCGATTTCTCTCGGAGCCTGATCTCAGGCTAAACACCGTTTTGAATTATTTTCAAGAAATTTCAATAAACGTCACTGTTGCAATTTGTAGTGTTATTTATTGGGATGGCTATCTCCCAGCCTTCACTTTCAATTATCGTTCAACCACATGAAGCAAAGCAAACAGACTGTAAGGGGGAGGGGGTGTGGGGGGGGGGGGGGGGGGGGGCACTTGCAATTGACAAATGGTTAACTCAACCTAAATGTATATATTTATTCAGGAATATAATTCCACCAATTCAAAATTATACTTCCTTGGCACAATTCTCAATAGGAAGAATATATCAAGCCAATCATTTTGCCTAAGCCAACAGGTTTCAAATTGATCAGCAGAAAGCAAACGTTCTGAGTTCGTTCGTGACCACTTGAGAAGCATCCTCTGTTTGAGATTAACCTGTCGAACGCACTCTCTTAATTTGTGATTACTACTAGTTTATAAAGTAATACGATTGTTCACAAAGCCGAAATACATAACGTTGTTTGCTTCGGAAGGCTTGGTGGCATGATGATTAGCGCGTTGCACTCTGAATCGAGCAGGCTGGGCTCGAGTCCTGGCGCAGGCTCATTGTTTTGTGTTGTTTACTAAATAAAGGAATATATTATGGTTCTTATCTGGTAAAATACACTTGAATCTATACTCGAATTCTACCCACGAGGTCTACTCGACTCAAAAAATAAAATCACGTGACTTACAAATTTGGGACACACTCACCCCTTGATTGACAAGGGATATGTCGATCAACTAAAAATATAACAAAACATAAAATAAAACGGAAACGGAATCGAGTTTTGGCTTCAGTTCAGTTCACTTGGTAAATAACAACTAAACTTATGGTTGCAGTTCAAACGAAAATAAATATTGAAAGTTTCTCACTCAATCCTCCCCATGCTGTAATTCAATCTTAAGACATTGTCTTCTTGTAGAAAAAGTAGGGGGCAGAGAGAATTAAACAATGATTTAGCCTGGAGCTAGCATTAAGTGGTGAGTGGGAGGGGGGGGGGGGGGGGGTGGGGGGGGGGGGGGGTGGGATTCAGACATTACTGTGAATATATGATGGAAACAGAAGCTAGCAGACAAATGCAAACTAGGCTGTATACTCTCCCCCCCCCCCCCCCCGCCCCCCCCTCCACCTCCTTCCGGAAGAAAGAAGGAATTACTTATCAATTAAAACAATTAGGCAATGCTCTTCAGGGATGTTTTAACAAATCTAGTCATAATATATGCTGAAGGGACCTTTCCAGGCAGACACACTAGTCCCTAACTTATGTCATAGTTTTTGCATGTAATTAATGGTGATTATCATGTTGTGATTATTTTGTGGTAGGTACATAAACACAACCAGTTGGAGTCGTTGCCTGAGGGAATTTTCAGCAGCAATACCCGGCTGTGGATCTGTAAGTAGGATTCTTCTTAATTTACAGAACACTATTGATCCTAGACTACGAGTAGTCCCTCATTTTTCTCAGATCGAGCGGGCGAGCGCGCGCGAAGCGCGTGGAAATATCCTCGCGCGAGAAGACGTCTTCTCGCGCGAGGATATTTCCACGCGTTCGCGCGCGCTCGCCCTCTCGATCTGAGAAAAATGAGGGACTACTCGTAGTCTATATTGATCCTACTAAGACCGAATAGGGACCTGAGAATGTCAGCGCCAAATGAAACAGCAGGACCCTGGAACCAATTGATTACAAGGCCGGCACTGCGGCAAAAGGACCGGGGCTTAAAATGAAAGAAAATAATGGCTCCTAAAAGTTGAATTGTAAATACATATTACAAGTTAATGTTTAACTAGTAAAGATAACGTGCAAATAAAATAGTATGATAAACATATATTAAAGAGACAAGGACCCTGTTATTGATACACTCCTACACATGTTATGAGTTTTTCTAGAGTTTTACCTGTAAGCGTTTTAATTTCACTTTGTTTTTTTGCAAATTGCTGTCCAAATGTTATTTCTCCCGAGGTATCTTAGTTTTGTCAAGTACAACATTCGATGGAATTTTTATAGGAGCCTATGTTATGTTTTTATTTTCACTTTCAAATTGATATCGATTATTTTTTCGATACATTCAGTTGTGTTAATTTAAATATTTACTTTCCTATTCGCAAAGTAAACGAGAAGTTGCAACGATGCCTCTGCAATCCGTTCTCCTCATACCTGTTAGATCCTGTTATTATGATCTTACAAAAATGATCATCTTTCTTTTCGCAGCGCAAAGCTGTACGCGTGTAGCCTGCAGACGCAGCTCGGGTGATTTTTGGCCTCACCTTTCACGCCGCCGATAAATATCTCGGCGGCGTGAACAACCTTTTGGGTTTTTGTGTGTTTAATCTGATGCTTATGTCACAGGTGTTAACCACGTTTCACAAAGGACGTGGTTTAAGTTTGCTAAGAACACAATTTTTTGGATCATTTTCCACAGTCTTAAAATATTGTCGGTTTTATACTTATGTCCAGTAATAACTAAAAATTAAATAATTAAAAAAAACGAAACCTTCTCAGCCCATTTCATCGATCGCTTAGCCGTTTACTGACTTTGTCTTCATCAAGGGCACCACAAAAAAAAAACATCATTAGTGTCTGCATGAAAAAAAAAACAAAAAAAAGACACGTGATACGCACAGAAGCGATGACGTATTATATTGGGCACAGCTGTATTCAGTTATTCCAGTTTCAAAATATGTTGACACATCCGTCATATCATCTCCGATTTTAGTTAATCCTGTTTTAAAATGCGACCATAGCTTTCCATCGGACTCTGTTATTTACCAGCTGTTTTGTTTCATCCCACGTCCTCCCAAGGTTCTCCAACTCCTTGATCAGTGTCTATTTGACTGTTTCTTCCCTGCTCGTACAAAGTACGAACATTCCATGTACCATGTTTTCAAACGGGATCAGTCGGCGAGATCAACTTCATCCGTACGTGCTGTACTTCATACCTTGCCTCGCTCCCCGTTTGTTAGAGGTTGTGGGGTTTGTTTCTTCTCTTTCCGCCCCCGAGGGGACGTCCAGAGAAGTAGCAATATTTTCAGTTTTCGTAACCATTGGTTGGTGGTTAGCCTTGTGTACTGACCAGAGGAGAGAGGGGAGCAATACGGCAGCAATTCAGGGTAATCCGTAAAGTAATAAAGTAAAGCATAGGAATTTATACAACATTCCCTGTACGTGTCCCGAAGGATTTTCTTGGACGCTATTATGGATAAATCGGCCGGAGGTGGATTAAAGAGTGTAGGAAACACAAAGACCGTGCGAAAAATCCTCCGTAACTTATGCAACAGCTAGTTGTAGAAATTCCCACTTAATCTAAGTTGCTTTATGAAACTGGGCCATGGTTTTTTAACGTTCTCCTAAGTGTTTTAACTCCAGTCTACGCAAGCAAACAAATAGACCCTTGAACCTAATAGTTTTCAAAAAAGCGTCCGAAAAGAGGTACATATTAAAATTGCAAACGATTTTCAGTTTTGCTTTATGGCCAAATGGGAGACGCGGTGGCCTAATGGTTAGCGCGTTGGACTCTGGACCGAGCGATCCGGGTTAGATCCCTAGCCTGGGTCACTGTGTTGTGTTCTTAGGCAAGACACTTTACTCTTACAGTGCCTCTCTCTACCCAGGAGTATAAATGGGTACCGGCGACAAAATGCTGGGGGTAACCTGCGATGGACTTGCATCCCATCCAGGGGGAGTAGCAATACTCCTAGTCGGCTTTATGCTAAGGAAACCGGGATAAGCTCTGGCAGTGTGGGCCTGTTTGGCCCGAGTGCGGCTTACCTTACCTTTTATGGTCAAAACAAAACCCTCAAAACGAATTACATCGTTTGAGTAGAAACGTCTGCCATGCTGT